TGAATTTTATGTATGTCTTTTGCAGATTCCAGATGCTGTTACGGCGTATTATCTTAACCGAGCTGGATTTGATGCAACAGATATCCGAGTGTAAGTACAAAGTACCAATACTCCATTTCACAGATTGAGAGTGCCATCTTGAAAGGTAGCCAAGATCCTTTTGAGAACCTGTGCACCAAAGTACCTGAAATATTGAACCTGCAGTGATCGATACCTTCTATTCACACCTAAGAAAGCTCATCCTGTCTCTTGGTTACCTTTCAAGATGGCTGGGAGCAGTGAAATGCAATATTCACGTCCTTGTCTACCATCTAAAATTGTGGCAAAATATGTAAAAACTTTCTATCACTACATGTATGTAACTTGTATTTTTATCTTCAGTGTTAGGTTGATTTCACTTTCTGCGCAAAAGTTTATCTCTGACGTCGCTAATGATGCTTTGCAGCATTGCAAGATGAGAGGTTCGGGACAAAGCTCTAGAAAATCTGGAAAGGTYTGCYATACATACWYTAATAAATTTACCATCAATAGAGTGCAAACACCATAAAAAAACAKTGCTAAACCATGAAAAAGTCCATTGCATTGAGCTTTCTATTATCTAATCTACACTGTTTATCACTTTTTGGTTTGTAGAATGAAGTCATTTAACCCATGAAGCAAAATTTGACAATTAAAGTGTGATAAACAAATAGACACAAAAGAAAACAATGCAATTAGTGCTTATTAAGGTGTATTAGTGTAATATCTATTCCTCAGTTTTTTGGTGTATGCACTATAGCAGTTTTTACCAATTTTTAATTTATCCAAAACTGTTATTCTTAATGAATTTGATTTTATTCAACAGGACAAGAGGTATACTTTAACAATGGAAGATCTTAGTCCAGCTCTCAGTGAATATGGAATAAATGTCAAGAAACCACCCTACTTTGTATAGCAGCTAAGATTAAATATACTAGAATCCTTGTTAATATCGAGAGGCATATTTATTTTCTTTCAATGAATGTTGTGAATCTATAAACCTAAAATAGATCCAGTATCGTGTAATAAATTTTTATGAAAGAACGTTAAGAATCACTTGAAGATACATAGCATTCTTCCTAAAAAATGTAGTTAGATAAGTCACAGTTCTAGCTTACTTCAGAAGCAACACTTATTTGTACCCTCTGATATCATCTTGGCTGAGAGGGGGCCTTGGTCCAGCCAAGAAA